ACGCGGGTCACCCTAGTAGTTACGAGCGAGCGAGCGCAGCGAGCGAAGCGAAGTCTTTTCAATATAACGGAAAAATCTCAGTATGAGCGGCCCGGCCCGGCCCGGCCCGGCCCGGCCCGGCCTGTAACGCTTTTGAGAGGCTTATATCTCAGCAACCGCTGGACCGAATGGCCTGCGGTCTTTTTTGCTGGGTAGCCCCATCCCTTCTACCCCGTAATTGACTACTTTTGATACATCTCAGTGACCGCCGTGGCACGTGCCACGTTAAAAGTCAAGGGTGTTCAAGCAGTTTTGCAAAAGTAATGATTTTGAGAGGCCCATATCTCAGCAGCGGCTTGAGCGATTGTCTTGCGGTCATTTTTATAGGGTAGCTGCATCCCTTCTACTAAAGGTCGGATACTCTTCATCTATGTGAGTGACCCCCACTGCACGTGCAAAATACAACAATAAGAGGTGCCAAATTGGTTCCCATTTCAGTGACTCGGTAATTACTGGGGCGATTTCGCTGAAACTTGGCATACAGGTAGGCACCCACCAGGCAATGCATTCCCATGTGTTGCGGTTAGGGTGCTACTGCACGTGCGCACGTGCAGGGGGCGTTTCCAGATCTCGAGAACGGCTGGGCCGATTGCGCTCAAATTTGGTACACGGTTGGGGACCGGTTAGTAGGGTGCCGTGCAAAAGTCATTTTGGACCCCGTTTGCACGTGCGCACGTGCAGAATGCCACTTCCAGATCACAGGAACGGCTGGGCCGATTGCGTTCAAATTTGGCACACCGCTAGCGACCGGTTAGAAGGGTGCTTTAACCCTCGCCGGCCGAGGGGGGGGGGGGGGCGGGTGCCGCCCCCCCCCATAGGGTTTTTTCGCGATAGCTCCGAACACGCTGGCGATAGAGAGCTGAAACTTGGCATACCTGACCTTTCATCCAAGCCGCATCTTTTGACACTAACCGCATTTTTGGGTCAGGTCAGGTTACTGACCTATGACGTCATAAGTGAACCTCTGCACGGTCTTCCGATGTCGCAACTTCGTAACGCCCTCACTGCCAGAGGAGATGTCACAGGGAAATGAAACTTGCAGGATCTAGTATCCATTATGAGTCTCACAACTTGTATATCTCGGATTTTTCCTAAAGGTCATATGAGGTCAGGTCATTTTCGTGACCTCACCATTATAAGTCAATGGGGAAAAATTCAAACTGCTACTCTGGCGCCGGGAACGATCTCCAACTATCTCAAGCACACAGAATCGTGATTTGATGCACTCCTTGCAAGGTTAGGTGCGTCACTTTTGCAATGTTGACCTTGCGTGACGTCATTTATGACGTCATCAAGGTCATATTAGTTTTTCGTCAATAACTCCCGATCAAATTGAGCTAGCGAGTCGAGAAAGCCACCAATGGACTCAGGAAGACCTGCCGAATCGAATGATATGCGACATGACCGCTTTCGACCAACTTCGTGACCTGGGGGTGCTGACCTGACTTTGACCTGAGGTCAACACCCAAAGTTGACCTGACCCGGACAAAAAGTATATCATTCGACGCGCCTGAGCGAGGCGAACACGATGCTGCCAAAATCGCGGCTCTGCGGCCGTTTTTTGCGAAGTTATTCACCAAAAACTGAACCGTACCCTGGGGCACTTGACCTGACCTCAGAGGTCACCGGTTGACCTAGGACCTTAAAATCGGGTACCAACCTCTGCGTCTCGTAACGGCGCACACGCTCGTTTTTTCCGCGACGCGCTAGCTCCACCAGGGGCGAAACGGCGAGGGGGGGGGGGGGTCGTACCCGCCCCCCCCCTCGGCCGGCGCGTATGTAGAAAACCAATAGGTCCGGCGAGGGTTAAGCCCGTTGGAAGTACCCTATCGCCCTTCCGCACGTGCAGGGCTCACTATCTCGCTCGCTCGTTCTTCGCCCAAAAGGCGTTTTACTGGTATCTATTTCTAGACAAGAACATATCAGCTGATGGGACTCCTCCAACCGTTGGATCTATTTGTGTACATCCCACGTGACTACATTTCCAATATCTGAGGGCAGGGTAACTTTTAAAGGGGGAAAGGGGAATTTCCCCCCTTCGAAAATTCCGCTCCCCCTTTCAAATTGTGCGTAAACGGCTAGGGAGGGAAGGGGGGAATTTCCCCCTTTCAAATTTATTTTTGAGCCCATTTTCAATCAATTCGCTACTCAGATTCTATAATCATCGTTGATCAGACTCTACTAAGGACGTCAAACCCCTTGAGACCCCACTTTTTTGCGATAATTTTTTAATGCGTCAACTCTCGTTGGCAATATTCTGGCAATGTGTGTTACAGAACCTGCCGAAACTTTTATTACTAAGGTATTTTGACGCCAAACGATTATGAAAGGTACTTCTCATTCACTCGTAATGTTAAATTTCACGAAACAAATCTGCTGTTTGGGTAGAGGCTACGCGCTCATGGGGCGGAGCCACGTAATGACGTCAGCGCTAAGCTCCGCCCTACCCCTCCGGCGCTCCTTGCCCGGCGACCGGTCACTCGCGTCTCTCGCTCCACTCAGGCTTGATGGTGGGCGGTAGCTGGTAGCGGTAGCGGGCGCTGGTAGATGGCATTTAGAGCAGATGGCGCTGGTGGCGGGGCTCGAGTGTGGCCGAGCGCAAGCCTCTGCCCGGGCCTGAATTGACCTTAGCATTACGAGTGAATGAGAAGTACCTTTCATAACCGTTTGGCGTCAAAATACCTTTGTAATAAAAGTTTCGGCAGGTTCTGAAACATGCATTGCCAGAATATTGTCAGCGAAAGTTGACGCATTTAAAAATTATCGCAAAAAAGTGGGGTCTCAAGGGGTTTGACGTTCATAGTAGTCATCAATCAACGTTGCTGGCGCTTAGATAATTTTCAATTTGATGTTCCATCCAAGCATTTTACGTTCAGTGCAGCGGGAACTCCAGATTTGACCCGATACCGATCGGACGGTCGGTGGGACCGTCTCTTGTCTTGTCTCTTCCGTCTCTTCGCAATCACTGACATATCGCTACAGGCGTCGGCGTAGAAACCTGCGGGGGACGGGGGTCATGACCTCTCCGAACCATAGGCGGCGGAACGGGGAGGGCACCGCGGGGCACCGTGCCCCCTTTGATTTTGGCATTTTAACATTGGCCCTATGGGCGTTGCATGGAAGGAATGGGACCAAAAGTCGGCAGTGCCCCCCCCCCCTTAATTGAAGGTGTTCCGCCGCTACTGCTCCGAACCAAGGGTCTTCCTTCGAACCAGGGTCCTTCAATCGGTCTTGGCCAAGGTAGGTACAGGTCTCGCGGGTTTTAGCGGTAGGTTTTGCACCTAGAAAATTTAGTGTACTTCAGGCTATATCTTCGTCGTCTTAAGCTTTTAAGTGTTGAAGATGCGATCGACTTGTTGGGTAACAAGCCGGCCATGATCGTGTAAAATGGCTTCATCGTAGATCGATTAGTTTCTGAGATATAACCAGAAATGTAAAAGTGCAAAACCTACCGCTTAACCCGCGCCGGTGGGGTCTGTTTATAACGCGACCTGGTGGGGGGGGGGGCTATTTTTTGCCCCCCCCCTCGTATCTCCGAAACTACTGGAAGGATCCGCAAATTTCAAACGGCGTTCGATAGCCCTGTCAAATTTGTCAAGGGAAACCAAATTTTATTGACCTCGGGGTCACCGATGACGTCACAGGTCAGGTCAAAGATAAAATGTTTCACCGTTCACGGGGCTTCTAGGGAAAGCGCTATAACACCGAGTAAAACGCATTTTGTCGAAAATCAGCGATAAGACGTCAGTTGTCTAGTACATATGTTGCTATTAGAGGTCACTGGTCATACCAGGTCAGGTCACAGGTCAGGTCACCAAAGGTCACCAAGGGTCACCACATGAACCCAACTTTACTAAGGTTGTGCGATGCATGTTTTATGGCCAGTTTTTCATTTCCAACCCAATGGTGTTGGTTATAAGACCATCAGGTACGGTTTAGGTCACTTTCTGGTGGAGGTCAGGTCAAGGTCAGGTCAAAAAAGGTCAAATTTCAAAGTTGATATTTTTGCATAAAATGGGTATCGATTCGATGCAGCTCGTCACGCGGAGTCTAATGGTGGTCTTTGTTTTGCACTACGAGGTCTAGAATTGCTAATAATTGAGTTTGAAAATTTGACGTCATCAATTTTGAACAGTTTTTTCGCTATAACTTCGCCAAAAAAAGAGGTATCAATCTAAAATTTGGTATGTGGATGGAAGGCGGTAAGGATTATCACATATATTCCGGTTTTTGCGAAATTCAAAAAGCTTTTTGGATTTTTTGACTATTATATCCCAAAAATCTATTTTTTGATTTTTGGGGGTTAAAATCAAAAAAATTCAAAAATCCGAGATGGCAGTTTTGTAGCCCTGTCAATTCTACAGCTTTTATGTCCTAAACATTTTTCTGTATTTGCAAAGCTATAGGCCTGACAGGTCTTCCCGCGAAACCCTTTATTGGGTCGAAAACGGCAGAACATGACGTCACTCTGACGTCATTTCCGGCCAACCTATCATAGCTTTTGGAAAAAATTTTGGTCACAATGTGTAAAATTGATGTCCGGGAGGGTACTGAAAGTTTGGTGACGATCGGCGCAGCGGTTCTGGAGATATATCGAAAAGTCTGGAGGGGGGCAAAAAATAGCCCCCCCCCCCCCACCAGGTCGCGGGTTAATCTCGCGAAACCTGTACCTACGTATATTTCTAAGCTTTTTTTTTGGCATCCTTACAATATAAAGTGGCCAGAATTCGGGGAGAGAGTAGGATTTGGGGGTAGGTAAGGTGCTGCAGGCGCCATCCTAACAAAAACCTAATGGCATTGGGCCCCGGCCCCCCTTTCAGATGCCCCTGGATCCGCCCTTGCCCCGAACTTTACTCCCCCTCTCGACTTTTCCTGTAAAAGTAACTCTGTCTGAGGGAGAAGAGACACGGTATCGTCTTATAAAAGCACGAGTTCGGGGTTCACCGTGGCGAGGGGCTTACCTCGCCTGGCGCGGAACATCTCCCAGCATTCCATCTTGCTCAGCACCTTCTTCAGCGCATCCGTGTCCAGGATATCGATGTTTGTCTCACTGGGATCGGTTTTATTCAGGTCGCCTCCAGCCGGCGCCGCCTGGGTCGTGACGTCATCAGACTTGATGACGTCACACTTGGTGGGAGCGTCGTCCGTCGGAGTGGTCACGTCCTTACCGTCACTGGAGGAGGAGATGACGCGACGTCAGATGACGACATCTGATGGATCAGCTATCCCTGCACACATGTTAGAATCAGGTAGGTCCTTCTTTCAGTCAGGACCTTGCGCCACTCAATTGGATGAACTACCTGACTAAAGGCCGCCCCACACTGGACCTCGCATGCGGGTTGCGAGTTTGCGGGTTTTGAGTTTGCGGGCATAATACTAATTCATAGAATGATTAGACCGTTCCCTTATGGCAACTTCAGGGCCCTGTTTCACCGGTGATAGCAGCACGCTACTATCAAATTGTGCGAGCTGACGTAATGTGATGACGTCACACTAATGACGTTTCGTGTAATCCGTGAGCTTTTTCATAGCTACGTTTGGAACAGAGTTGCTGTCTCGTTGAATGCGTTTGATTCATTCGCACGGCCGTGAAGATGTCAGCAGCAATATTTGATGACGTCACACAAATTGACGACGGCATGGTTTGTTGATGTTTCCATGGAAACCCAATTTGACACGTGTGATAGCAGCGTACTGCCATCACCGGTGAAACAGGGCCCATGAATGCAGTGAAGCCGGTACACCTTCAAAAAATTACATATGTCGCAATACCAGCGCAACGAACCAAAATTTGACTCCAACGAAAAACCCACAAACCTCGCAGAACTCGCAGACTTCGCAGCGAGGAAAATCGAAAGTTGACTCAAAATCAACTTTTGGAATGCGATGCAAGGTCGCTCGCAAGCAAAAACCTGCAGACTCGCTTGTTAGATGGTAGTTTGGGTCACTCAGCTTAGATTGTATTATCTGATCTTGAAGAAACCCGAAAACCCGAAAACTCGCAACCCGCATGCGAGTTCCAGTGTGGGGCGGCCTTAAAAATTTGGCGGGTAGACCCAATTGCCGCTCACCACTGCTGTTTTTTTTTTTTTAATTGCACCTGATCCTGCTGTCTAATCCAAATCGAACCTCATCCCTGCTCACTCAAATTTCCCCTCATCCTGATGTTTTTCACACAAATTGTCACCTTACCCTTGCTGACGGTTGTTCATCACGTTTTGATGGAGTTCACATTTCTCCTCCTGTTGACGGTTCTTTGTCTCCTCTTGCTGACGGTTGCTTGTCTCTTCTTGCTGAAGTTCGCCTGTCTCCTCTTGCTGAAGGTTGCCAGTATCCTCTTTTGTCTGACACTTGCAAGCAGCCTCCATTAGGCGGTCGCATTTCTCCTCCAGCCGAGAGAAGCTCTGCTTCAGTCCACCGATAGCCTTCCAAATGTCTTTCTCTATGATTTGTCGGGCAGTGCGTTCTTCAATCAGCGCCTGCCGAAATCTGGCCATCTCCTCTTGAAGTTGCTGTATCTCCATCTGAAACAGGTGGACATTACAATTTACAGTATATATAGTTAGCCAAGATTAACACGTTCAGTGGAAGGGGGTAAGAGAAATTCGAAAATCGGCCGGTAACATTTTGAGTTACGAGGGTGTAAACATAAAATTGTGACGGAAACGTTTCCGACGCCGGCCGATACCCGTCAGGCCGAAGACATCTTACTCTTAGCAGGCTTCTTCTAACTCCCATCGTTATGGTTAGATTATCTAGAGATTCTCAGTATGTACTCAAAAATGTATGAGCTGTCATAAAGTGAAAGCAATAAGACTATCGGACAGTAACTTTTTGAGTTGTGACTTGTGAGCGTGTAAACACACAATATGTAGTTCCTCATATGGCAAATTTGATAACGTTTGACCTTATTTGATCTTCAAGATGTTGCTGACATGGGATCATAATTAACACACAATAGAGCTTTCTACCACCACCATCCAGCTGACATCTTATCGTATTTGGGGGGGGGGGGGGCGACATTCGCCTCTTTCCACTGGGCCCGTAAATAGTTTTTTCCACTGCGTGTGTTAACCATCGCACTATCGAAGGAGTCGAAAGGACCACCATTTTTTTTTAGGAATGACTCGCGCAAAAGGTGGGCAATCGCTACCAACCCTTTAACCCGCGCACCGACGGGGGTCTGCGCCAACTTAGTACCGACGGGGGGGGGGGCGGATGACCGCCCCCCCCCCCTGAGATCTCGAGAACGAAGCAAGATAGCGACAAGCGGTAAACGGCATCGGATACGCACGGTCAAGATCTACAATTTTTACTAAGGTCATTTTCAGGTCAGGTCAAAGATGACGTCACAGGGGTCGAAAAAGTCAAAATGGCGGCGCTAAATATGGAGAGAGTTTTTCTCGAATAACTTTCGAATTAGTCAAGATAGGAACAAACTAAGGGCATCATCGTGATCCTCTCGTCAATCCGCATCGAATGATATATATGTTGACCTCGAAAGGTCAAGGTCAAAGGTTGACCTCAGGTCACGTGACCTCGAGGTCATCATGTATATCATTCGATGCGTCTTGACGAGCTGAACACAATGAGACCATCCACGCGTCTGTATCTTGTTCCTGTACGGAGTTATTGGCCAAAAACCTTTGGTGACCTTTGATGACGTCACATGACCTCACAGCTACCCAACAGCAAAACAGACCTCAAGGTAGTGAAGGTTGATCGTATATGAAGTCATGTATGGTATATGGGGCCATTCCGACCCGTTTTAGTGGTAAAAACAGGGAGTTGATTTTTCCCCCATTGACTTATAATGGGGAGGTCGCGAAATTGACCTGACCTTAGGTCACCGATATCAAAATTCCGAGATAAACAAATTGTAGCTACTAATGACCTAATAACATCCTGCGACTTTCAAAGGCCTCCGACATCTACTGTAGCTCTGGCACGGTGACAAAGTTGCAAAAAAGTGACTTGAGGTTGGGTCATTCAAAGTGACCTGGTGACCTGACCTTGAAATGTAGGAGATTCAAACTTGCACACCATGTGTAAAATTGATAAGGGAATAGTCATACCAAATTTCGCGGCGCTACGCGCCGCGGTTTTCCCGCTATTCGCGAAAAACCTCAGGGGGGCGGATATCCGCCCCCCCCGTCGGTGCGCGGGTTTACCCTCGAGTCAATCAATTTTACATCTACCATGAAAACGTCATGAAACGCCTCAAATGACCTTTAACCTGCTTTTTTTCATCCTCAGAATAGTCGAATCCTTCTCCACGCCTCAACCCCCTGTTCCGGGCTGGAAGGACAACTTTATCCCATGTGGGAAGCTCCCCCGAGGAGCAGGTCCGTAGCCTGGTGCGGTGTCAGGGGGGCTGGGTGGCCTGTCCACTGGATGGGCTCAGCCCCGACAACTCACCAGGGTGTCCGCACAGACTAAAAACTCCCCTTAACCCGGCAGGCGGTGGGCCTCCCGGCCACCTTCCGCGCGGTGGGAAGGGGGGCATCCCCCCCCCACGTATCTCCGAAACTACTGGGCGGATCCGCAAAATTCAAACGGCGTTCGAAAGCCCTGTCAAATTTGTCGAAGGAAATCTAATTTCCTTGACCTCGGGGTCACCGATGACGTCACAGGTCAGGTCAAAGACAAAATGTTTGGCCGTTCATCGGTCTTCTAGGGAATGCGCTATAGTATCGAGTAAAACACAATTTATCGAAAATCAGCGATAGGGCGTCAGTTGCCTAGTACATATATTGCTATTAGAGGTCACTGATAATACCAGGTCAGGTCACAGGTCAGGTCATCAATGGTCACCACATAAACCCAATTTTACTAGGACTGTGCGATGCATGTTTAATGGTCAATTTTTCATTTCCAACTCAATGGTGTTGGTTATAATACCATCAGGAACGGTTTAGCCCGGCAGGCGGTGGGCCTACCAGCCACCTTCCGCGCGGTGGGGGGGGGGGGCATTTTTTGCCCCCCCCCCGTATCTCCGAAACTACTGGACGGATCCGGAAAATTCAAACGGCGTTCGATAGCCCTGTCAAATTTGATGAGGGAAACCAAATTTCATTGACCTCGGGGTTATCGATGACGTCACAGGTCAGGTCAAAGATAAAATGTTTCACCGTTCACGGGGCTTCTAGGGAAAGCGCTTTAACACCGAGTAAAACGCATTTTGTCAAAAATCAGCGATAAGGCGTCAGTTGTCTAGTACATATGTTGCTATTAGAGGTCACTGGTCATACCAGATCAGGTCACAGGTCAGGTCACCAAAGGTCACCAAGGGTCACCACATGAGCCCAACTTTACTAAGGTTATGCGATGCATGTTTTATGGCCAGTTTTTCATTTCCAACTCAATGGTGTTGGTTATAAGACCATCAGGTACGGTTTAGGTCACTTTCTGGTGGAGGTCAGGTCAAGGTCAGGTAAAAAAAGGTCAAATTTCAAAGTTGATATTTTTGCATAAAATGGGTATCGATTCGATGCAGCTCGTCACGGGGAGTCTAATGGTGGTCTTTGTTTTGCCCTACGAGGTCTAGAATTGCTAAAAATTGAGTTTGAAAATTTGACGTCATCAATTTTGAACAGTTTTTTCGCTCTAACTTGGCCAAAAAAAAGAGGTATCGATCTCAAATTTGGTATGTAGATAGAAGGCGGTAGGGACTTTCACATATATTCCGGTTGTTTCGAAATTCTAAAATGTTTTGGATTTTTTGGCTATTATATTCAAAAAATATTTTTTTGGATTTTTGGGGTCTAAACCCAAAAATTCGAAAAACCGAAATAGCAGTTTTGTAGCCCTTTTAGTTCCACACCTTTTATGTCCGAAACATTTTCTGTATCTCTAAAGCTGTAGGCCTGACAGCTCTTCCCGCGAAACCTTTTTTTGGGTCGAAAATGGCAAAAATGACGTCACTCTGACGTCATTAGCGGCCAACCTATCATAGCCGTTGGAAAATTTTTTGGCCACCATGTGCGCTAGCTGCTCCCGGGAGGGTACTGAAAGTTTGGTGACGATCGGCACAGCGGTTCTCGAGATATATTGAAAAAAGTAAAGGGGGACAAAAAATGCCCCCCCCCCACCGCCTGGAAGGTTAGGTCACTTTTTTGGTAGAGGTCAAGTCAATTTCAGGTCAAAAAAGGTCAACTTTTAAAGTTGATATTTTTGCATACATGAGTATTGATTCGATGCAGCTTGTCACGGCGAGTCTAATGATGATCTTTGTTTTGCGCTACGTGGTCTAGAATCGCTAAAAATTGAGTTTGAAAATATGACATCATCAATTTTGAAGTTTTTTTTTCGCTATAACTTTGCCAAAAAAAAAGAGATATGGATCTAAAATTTGGTGTGTGAATAGAAGTCGGTAGGGGCTATTACATACACTCCGTTTTTTCGAAAATCGAAAGAAGGATTTTTTGGCTATTAACCCTCGCCCTGGCAGGGGGGGGGGGGTCGATGCGACCCCCCCCTAAGGTTTTTCGAAGATAGCGTAAAAACGGCGGCGCGCAGCGCCGCCAAATTTGGCACAGCCTATGGGGCAACCTTTTTACATATGACCTGAAAATTTCAGGTCCGGGTGACCTTGGGTCAGGTCACCAGGTCAGAAAAACCGGTACAAGGTCATGGTCAAATTTCAATTTTCTTTATGCACCTGTCCAACTCACAGTTTTCGACTGATTTCCTTCAAACTTTCAGGATGTGCTAAGTTCACCGAGTTGTATAACATATAGTCCGGTTTTTTTGAGGTCACTGACCTGAGGTCAGTTAGAGGTCATTACGTCGTAATGTTAAGCCTATGGGAAAATACTAAATTCGGAAAATACTGGAGATATCCGCTTCGTTTTATCACTTTTGTGCTTTGAAACCACGGTACTTAACAGCAGGTCACTTGGTGCTTCTTTGTTTGGTGTACTTATCCATGGGTCAGGTCAAATGAGGTCAACTGAGGTCAAATGACGTTTTTGCCAATAACTTGGCACATAATGACGCTAGAGCTTAAAAAATGGTATCATTGTGTTCCTGGTGATCAGCCGAATCAAATGATATGCGATATGATGCAATTTGGTTAACTTGAACTTAATTTATTAATTTAAGTTTACTTAAAATTTAAGAAAAACTTTAAGTACACTTAAGCAAGCTAAAAAGTATATCATTCGACGCGCCTTGACGTGCTGAGTTCACTGGTGCTTTTCTTTTTGCTCTATCATAATTAGATCAAAAGTTATAAGCGAAAAACTTTTGACCTGTTTTTAGCGAAATTTTTACATTTGTACCCCCCAAAACCCCCCTAAATATTGACCTAGAGCAACCAAATTTGCACAGGGGCGAGAACTCCGGGGGGCCCACCTACCTACCAAATTTGGTGTTTCTAGGTGCCATAGGAGCCAATCGCGAGGGGGGGTCGCATCGACCCCCCCTGCCAGGCCGTGTTATGAAAAATGCCCTGCCAGGGCGAGGGTTAAATTAAAAAAATATTGTTTTAGCTTTTGGGGGTCAAAATTCAAAAATTTCAAAA